CATACCCACCTCGCGAAAAAGGGTCACGAGCGCGGTGATCGCGTCTGTCACCGTCCTCAGCTTGGGAAGGGTCGACACAGGCTCACTGAGCTGACCCAGCAGTCGTATCACGAGGGCTTTGGTGACGGGGTCACTCTTCAAGAACGCGTCAAGCTTGGGTCGATGGTAGGCCATGGTCACGTCAGCATCCGACTAGGACAAGGGTCCTGAGGTCGAGGTGCCTACCGACTTGGTGTCACCTGGTGCCTTCATCCGGATCTTGGTCGTCTTGGACATGGCAATCGTATTTTTGTAGTTTTTGTATAATAGTCTATCGGGTTTCACCTTCGACTGGTTATCCTCTGGGGCATGATAGATATCATGATCCAAGGTGTCCTCGACGAGGACGTATGGAGGGTATTTCGGTTTCTTTTAATAAGTTCAACCTTGACCATATTGAACAGGGCTCCTCCCAAGGTCCGGCCGGTCCTTAGATCCTTTGTTGTTTCCTTGTGTAGTCACTGGCGATCGGTCTTCTAGTAACTCTTCGGTCTTTTACTCAATCTTTGCTTGAACATCTTCATCTTCTTGGGACTCGCGGTGATATCCTGCGTCTTCCAAAGATCCGGGAACGCGCACCATTCTGGTGGAGTGGGTTTTCAAAACTGCGTAATGAGACCCCAAGCCACTCACTTTACTGGACTGCCGACTATCGGAGGGGGGGGAGAGCACGCAGCGCGCTTGGAAACTAGAGGTACGGAGTACAGGCTATTCCATGTGGTACATCTGTCCAAGCGCAAGAGGGAAAGAGTTCCCCGATCGACCTAGTGCCGCGTTAGAGACGGACGAAATAGATCGCGTCGACTTCGATGAATGCCTGTTACCGGAGGACAGTTGGGCAAGAGAGCTGGAAGAAGGAAAGCACGAGGTCGAGGAGATTTTGAAAGCCCGCACTGGAAAGAAAACACGTTACGGGAGACAGCAACGAGAGCTCCTCGTCCGATGGAAAGGGTGTGAAGACCCCTCGCTGGTGGATGTAGTGGCTTTGAATTGAGGAGCTTTACTTCGGGATTTCGAGCGCTAGAAGACAAGAAGGAATCGTTTCAAAGCGATGCAAACTTATGAGGATCAGAGGCCAAAACCGAGGATCCAAGGCAGTCGACCAGAGTCTATAGTGGGTAGATCGTGGTCGTTTTTGTGAGTAGAACTTGGTCTTCCGAGGTTGACCCTGGTTCATCATTAGTAGACCTTGGTCTTTTCGAGGTCAATTCCGGTCACACGTGGGCAGACCTTGGTCTTTCTAGGTTGACCCGAGATCCAACTGCTGGGTCAGCTTGGTGAGCCTGTGTCAACAATTTCCAAGCTAAGGACGGTGACAGCCACGATCACCGCGCTCGTGACCCTTTTTCGCGAGGTGGGTATGGTCGCAGGAAGGTTTAAGCCTGAAGACTTGTTTTCCCTGGGGTTCAACAATATCAAGACCACGTTATAAATCCTACACAAACGTCTGGGTATCCTGGTGAGAACAACCCCAGTACTACTCGACTCACCTCCTGCGACCGCCGCGAAAGCACCGTCGGACGACAGCCAAGTGACCCTGCACGACATCGAGGTCCACCCTCGAGAGCAATGGTCGAACGAGGACCCATGGTCTATACGAGGTCTATCATAGACCACCTTGCCTCAGGGACCTCCGGAGTCTGCAAGGCAATCGTCGCGAGGGTCGCCCGTCACTAGTCACGTGGGTCGAATGCCACTAGGAACAACGGCATGTCGCTGCTGCAGGCCAGAGCTGAGAGCGCGGACGACGAGCAGCGAGCTCACGAAACGGCGACATGTGTACAGCCAAGGGAAAGTCTGGCTTCTGATAGATCGAATTTCAACAATCAGAAATGAGCCAAGACCAGTACCGAATTACACCTCGTCACGTGACGGAGTAGCCCAGGGAGGAGTGCCTACCGACTCGGTAGGTAATTTACAGGCATACTTCGACGTTGCGACGGCGAGATTCTTACAAGAACGCCAAGTACCGCAAGCACACATCGATGGAAGTGCGGCCAGAGGTCGACAGAGGGCTTAGAGGTCAACGGCCCAGCTGGGTCCAAGTGCAGGTTTGCAAGGTGCAAGAGACCAAGGTATGACCGACGTGGAGATGGAATCGGTCGGTTCATGCGAATACGACTCGGAAGACATGGACCTCGATGGACCTCTGGCGAGAATGGCCAATGCCACCCCCTGGGACAGGAGCCCAACATGGTCTTTCTTTGGTCTTCTTAAGCTCTCAGAGACCTCAAATCTCAAGGACTTTCATGGAAAAGACCAAGATGAGGACTGAGCACGCAGCTGGGTGACCACTGTGAAGACCGCGTTCACGAGGGACTAAGCAGCAGATGGGAAAAGTGTCTCGTTTTTGGAGAATTATGGACTGTATCTGCTCAGAACTGGTATTGTCAACTAGGTCGCTCTGTTTGTGGAAATTGGAAGGACTTATTAAGGAATTCCAGATGCAGTTCTGTGGTTTGGGGGTGCCAGTGACCCGCCAATATTACCACGCGAAGAAAAGGTCGGACGAACTCCCGCTGGACTATCTGTACCGTCTGAATGTCATTGGACTTCAAGCGAAGATCAAGATCAAAGATGGGCCGCCCAAGATTCAAAAGGAACATGTCGAACACTATATCAAAAAAGATCTTGGACGACCCACCTAATGACGAGGTACTGACCCTGGAGGGCCGGGTGACGTCATCAATGGATGTTGTCTTTGAGAACAACAAGGTGCAAGCACCTAGTGACGAGGTACTGGCCCAATAGGGTCGGGTCAAGTCATCAATGGATGTTATCTTTGAGGATAACGAGGTTCAAGCACCTAGTGACGAGGTACTGGCTCAAGAGGGTCGGGTGAAGTCAAAAAAGACGGTTGTCTTTGCGGAAAAAGAGGTGCGAACACCTCATGACGAGGCATTGACCCAAGAGGGTGGGGTGCAGTCAGTAGACGAAGTAGCCTTTGACCTTGAGGTGTGTGCACATGTGGACGCTGATGCGTCGGATGCTGAGAGCATCATGAGTAGCGACGATGATATTGTGAGTGACGGTGATAGCGAACAGCTATATACACTCGTAATTGGTTTGACTGGGGATGTTGAAGAGCCGGTGGCTCTTTCAGCTATACCCGCAGTCAGTGCTCTGTTAAAGCTGGACTAGATCGCAGTAAGTGCTCTGTTAGATCTGGACGAGTTGTCCTTTGCCGAGTTTTGCATTGCCTTACAGGCAGGCGACATCGCCGAAGTGGTTGTTGTACGACCTGAGGAGGAGTTGAACTCCACATCGCTTTTGGATAAAGCAGTTCTTAAGGATACCAAGAAGGCGCTGAATGCGCGTAGTAGATCGCAGATCCTGATGGACCCTTCGGGTCCTTATTTTCCATTGTTGAAGGAATATGGAGATGTTGTTTCCAGAGAACCTCCTACGATGTTACCTCCGGATAGAGGTGTACGTCATGAGATTGACTTGGTTCCAGGAACCAAATACTGTGTGACACGACAGTGACCGCTGCCACGAGAACAATGTGACGTCATTGACGAGTTCTTTAGTGCGAAGCACGCGGCTGGCATGGTGCGTGAGAGTAAGTCTCCTCACTCTACGCCCACGTTTTTGTGTGAGAAAGCCTAATGGGAAGTGGCGAATCGAGCATGGTTATAATAAGCTGAATGCAGCCACTACCCCGGCTCAAACACCGATTCCTTGCAAGGATGTTCTTCCAAACAATATAGTGGGATGTACAATGTACAGTGCCCTCGACTTAGTCGATGAATATACCAACTGCTCATGCGATCTAGTGATATCCCGCTGACAGCGGTCAGCACTCCGAGCGGTATGCTCTGGGAGTGGTTAGTGATGCCACAAGGGCTGTCTAACGCACCTGCAACGTTCAATCGTCTAGTGACGCGGTTGTTTCGGCCCCATAGGGCGTATACAAGGACATACTTTGACGATATATTCTTCTATAGTCGAGCCAAAAATGGCAATACTGATGTGGAGAATCACATCGAGTACCTGCTAGCTGTGCTCGGCTGCATGAGGATGCATAAGTTATATGCCAATATTGACAAATGCATCTTCGGTGCGGAAGAGATTTCTGTTTTAGGAATGCTTCATTGGGAAGCGAGGAATTCGGGTAGATCCTGTCAAGGGCAAAGCCATAGTGGATTGGCCGGTTCTGAGGAACCAGAAGGACCTCCGCAAGTGGTTGGGTTTGGCAAATTACTTGCACAAGTATAGCCACAACTAAGGCACTTGTTTTGAAATATCTTGGTGCAGTCTTTAGTACCGCGTCCTGTAGTATCTCTCCAATACTCGTTCCACAAAGTAAACGCCATAAGGCCCACAAAAATACCAAACATATATCTACTTTAGCGTTATCAGCAACGGGCAAGCAGTATAAACTTTACACCTCTTAAAAGGTACCTCCCCTTACTTTGACAACGCTGGCAGTTTTCCTAAATCTAGCATCGTATGGTTGAACAGCAAACTTACGTGTACTGAAAGCTATGTCATATTGTAAGCGATAGTTTATCGTATGTATATATTCTTAATATACAATCAACAAGAAATGGTATGAAGTATTTGATGATCAGCACAAGGACATTCAAAGCTACGTTAAACTTCCAAAAAACACATCGATCGACAATGGTTTAACACAGCTGCATCGTATCGCTCAATACATCAATGTTTGCGTTGAAGCTCCATATCTATAGCTACTAATACCAGCGACAAGAAGAAGTAGCAGCAATTAATTCTGCAGCGGCGATTACGGCTTTTAAACGCAAGGGCGTGTGAGTATCAATTTTTCAGCATATATTACAATAAATTACTATGAAAGTTCAGTAATATATTGTGAGCTCGAAAAATATACGTAAACTACCAAAAAAGCATTTTTTAGCGTCAAAACAACACTGTTTCTATTGTGCTGACAACAGTACTCAAAGTAAGTGCTTTTTTGTTTGTTTTAAGATAGAAGCCTGCTATTTATTCCCATAGCGGGACTTCTTGACACCCAAACCTGCAACAAATCCTTCACCTACGTAGACCAAATACAATGAAAGTAATGAAGTCACCAATTGAACTCAACTGTGTGTTGCACCATTGTTCCATTTCTTGCTTACCTTCTTTCCTGCCTTCATTAGTTGCCTTCGTCCATGTCTTTTTCATCCCTTCTTTATGAAATCCCATCTTCTCTAGTTCCTCCATTTGCATTAAACCCCTTGATTTTCATATCAAATGACACTCTTCTTGTTAACTATCACTCTCATCATTTCACCACCTTAGACGAAGCACACCAAGAAGAATTATATACGCACTTGTCCATTCGACATTGCAGGTACTCAGCCGATATGGGCTTGCAATCAATATGGTTGTGGTCATGTTCGCGCATACAAGCAAGAAACTTTTTCATAGCTGGCTTGCATTCTCCATAGTGGTCTAACGGAAACGAGCCTTTTTCAGGCGGTCGCTTATTCTGCAAAGGTGCCTGTGCTGCGTTCATTTTTGGTCCAAAATGTGAATAACTAGTCTTGGTTTCTATGAATTTACATTTATAGACTCCAAAGCTTTAAATGCCCCTCTAGAAACGCAATTGATTAAACATGTTGACACCAATTGTTGTGGTCGGTATTGCAGCCGGTATCATGGTGTTTGTAGGCTCCTTAGTAGCCGTTTTTGTTCTGCTTCACCAAGGAGGATCGTTTGAACGTATGGCACAGGAAGTAGTGGGACTACCAATGCCTCTGGGTGAGCAAAAACCACTACTTTATGACGAACTGTTGGAAAAGGCAAAGACGCTGAGTATTCGGCTAAAGCCTCTAGGACACAACAAATTACTGGAGGGAGAGAGCATTTACGTGCGAGATTTTGAAGCATCTAAAGACGTTGCAGATCTGTTTGCTATCTCTAATGGAGAGCCACAGGGAGGGATCTTTCGAGACTTGATCTTCGATGCTGACGAGATGATTTGGAAGTATCTTCCACATGGACCCTTTGCATCTATGGATGATATGAAAGAGTTTTACGCACATGATGAAGTAGATGCTCGTCACTTTGTGGTAGTGTATCGAAAGAGCAAGCAGCCGATTGGAATGGTGACGCTGGGTGAACATTCGCCACGAAATCTTCGCATCGAGTTGATGCACTTGTGGCTTTCTCCGGCTTTTCAGGGTAAGTCGACACTAAAAGAGATTGTATTGCTGCTTTTAAAGTATCTGTTTGATAGCGGATACCGTCGAGTGGAGTGGCGATGTGACGGACACAACGTACGTGCTCGACGTGCTGCTCATTCGTTGGGTTTCACGTTTGAAGGTGTGATGCGAACGCACCGAATCATTAAGAACTGCAACTCCGACACAGTTGTCTTCGCTGCTATCAACAGCGAGTGGGGGGTCATGGAGGAGCATTTGCAACATAAACTTCGGCAAGAGCTGAAAAAGGAAGAAGGAGGTGAGACTGAATCGAGAAAAACACGATAAGCTGGTACACCCCGTGAGAGCAAATGCTCGGCGTGTGTGCATCGTGCAAGCCGGTAATTGATAATCTCTACTATGTCTATGGTTATGCTGTTCTTTCCTGATCGCTTGGTTCTCTTCATGAAGCGCTAGTCGGCCCATCTGCCACTTAAAACTAATCGATCTTATCAACACGGTCGCTTTGGGTGCCAAACCGCCGTGCCTTCTGATAGGCGTTATGGTCAACCAAGTGCACTTCTGCGTGCTCAAGCCACTTAATGAGTGCAAAAGTATCTTCGGGATGGTTCATGAGCCAGTGGTACGTAAGCCAGACTTGGATAGTGATGTATATGGCAATGAGGACGTCTAGAGTGTAGTGCAACCGCGTACCCACAATGGCAAAAATGCCAAAAGCCGACAGGATGTAGTTGTAGTAGCGGATCATCCACAGCACACACGGAAAGCGTCTGGTGAAAGGCGTGCTAAACTCTGAGCGCACACAGTACTACAACATTGGTTACGTGAGGGAAACCAACCTTCCATGTAAAACAATGATGATCGAGATAACATTCTGGTCATACCGTTCTTGCAAACATGCAGCAGAGAATCAAGAAAACGGCATGGCCACTGAATATCATGTCGCCGCATGTGATGTGCTGCGATGGGCGGATCAATACTTTCCAAGCGCGGAAGAATGCCCTGCAAACAAAAGCCACGTACAAAAGAGCGGATTTTTAAGAGTAACCTTGCTTGCTGCAAACTACTAGCTGCAGTAAGATCAGTGCGAGAAAGTCGAGACTACTGTACATGCACGCACTTTGGGAAAATGGGAAGAGGCTTGTAGTTCCCACGGTCCGTGTCAAACTGGGATATGCACATGGGGCTAGCGTCAGGAAGCGACGTGACCGCCACACAGCAAGCTCGCATGAGATTAATGATAGCAAAGATGAAGCAGAAACGACGAATAATGAGCAGACGCTGCAACAAGCAATCCAAACAAATCGACAACATTATGAACACCTGGACCACCAGTAATAGCAGCAATACAAAGGACACCTTACTCTTGGGTGCAGAATAAGAATAAACGACGTAAGCGTGCCGACTGCAGCGAGAAATTCATCAGGAAGGTCAAACCACTCAATGTACGTCGTGTGACCGTAGATCTTGGTCATAACAAACTTAAAGAGGTCGTGTCCCAAGTCTGGAAGGGTCTTCACATTAGTGTTTTGCTTTGCAAGGTCCAAAATCACGACGTTTGGTGTGCGCCAGCTACAAATAGAGTAGAAAAACATGACAACAATAAGCATCAAACATTAGTATCCAAACCCTTACGCTTGTTAGACAAATATCATTTCAAACACATTCATTCTTCTCCACCCACAGCCTTCTTACCCTGCAATGACAGCTGCCAATGTATTAAGATATGACGCAATGGCAAAGATTGAAAGTGAAAAGGCGAGTCGTGAGAGATAAGCATAGCTCAGCATTTCAGTTATAAATCCCTGACGCCCTGAATGATCAATAGCTCGACCTTTAAAGTATTGTAGATTTTCACCCACACGATTACGTTGATCTGAGACATAATCCGACATGTCTTGCAGATTTTTTTCAACACGGGAGCGGAGCACGAGGCCATGATGAGATACAAGTGCACGTGCTGTTGCTGCAATGACGCCTACAAGTAGTAGAAGGAAGGAAATCACGATAATAAAACCCGATGGATCAAAAGCTGAAACGGGTCGTGCTTTCATGGCGTAAAAATGCGACGTAAAATAATCTGTCCAGCTTTCCATTGTTTGGACCATGCGCGTATTGTAAATGATACGAACAAGTGCAAAGAAAGAGTGAGTGAGTGAGTGAATGAATGAGTGAATGAATGAGTGAGTGAGTGAGTGAGTTTTTGAGTGATTGTACGGAAGAAAGTTGGTCATTTAATAACGTTTGATTTAAGTAAAAAACGTTTAATCGTCAAGTGATTTGGAAATAGATATTGGAGTCATGAGTTATGAAAACATTCAATTCAAGTAGAACAAGAAGTTACCACGACTAGTACTATTGTAAAAAAAACAAAACAACCAGAGGAATTTCAATTCGAGGAGCTCGTAACAAGTGATTGGCAATAAAAAGCTAAAAAAGTTACACTAATTTAGGTGTAGAGATCTCGTCTATTTGCAAGTCAATCTAATCTCGAGCTTCTTCTAAGTACATTTACATGCAATTTCCTATTTTTTTTACCTTAAAATATACTTTATAAAGTCATACTTATACTTATCCGTTTCATTAATTCGTACTTAGACAAATATCACCAGCTGGCGGGAAATCTTGAATTAGCAACCATGGCGACGGCGGTGCGAGTGGCAACGCCTGAGATTCGACTGCACTGCGGTCCTACGGGGTTAAATGAGGCCGTATTATCATTGGACTTTCTTCATCCCAACGTAGAGCTTATGCAATCAATTACCACAGACAAACCGCTCTTGGCTACGGGTGGTGCTGATAAGGAGATCAAGTTGTGGCGAGTGGGTGAGAATACGGAGCATAGAAAAGTGGAGCTTGAGTTTATCTTCAGCCTTTCAGGACATGAACGCAGTATCAACTGCGTGCGCTTTTCGCCTAATGGTGCTTATTTAGCATCAGCCAGCGATGATACTTCCATTATTCTGTGGACGAAACCCAAAACGGCGGGTGATAACTGGCGCTGGGATCAGATCTCGTCCCTCAGCGATGTAGGCCGTACTATTCTTTCGTTGGGCCATAAGGGTGACATTACAGACCTTGCATGGTCACCTGACTCGGCCTTCCTTTGTTCCTCGTCGGTCGACAACCGTTGTGTCATTTGGGACGTGGAAAAGGGCGACGTGGCCGAACGACGCAAAGACCACACGCAGTACGTGCAGGGCGTTGCATGGGATCCTCTTAACGAGTTTCTCGTGACGGAAGGCAACGACCGCACATGTCGTGTCTATTCGCTTAGTGGATTTGGAGCGGCAACGCGACCAAACGGGAAGAAATTAGGGCGAAAGTTTATGTGCATCCAAACGCTAAAGTCGCGCGAGCTTCCGGCCACACAAAACGAATCTGTCTCAGCAGTTACGAGTGACAAAAAAGGAAAGGATAGAGGCGAGACGGCGGATGGTGATGTTAATGCAGTTGCGGGGGATGCGGTTTCTAAAGTCCCAGCAGTGTCCAAGCACCGTATGTTCCTTGATGACACGTGCCCCGCGTTTGCTCGTCGACCTGCCTGGACACCTGACGGTAGTTACTTCTTGACACCAACTGGGACCTTTCGTGCTAGTGAGTCGCCGTCTCCTGTCAATACAGTGTACGCATTCTCACGGGGCAACTTAAGTCAGCCGACGCTGCACCTACCCGGACAGGAGAAGGCGTCGCTTGGTGTCCGTTGCAGCCCCCTTCTTTACCAATTGCGCCGTCAAGACGACCAATCAGTCTGTTCACCTCTACCCAACTTTTTCAAGACGGAGTACCGCTCTGTGTTTGCTGTTATCACACTCGATGCTGTCGTTATCTATGACACACAGGTAATCTTGTTACAGGACGTAGTGTATGCGCTACTTTACTAAAGTGTATCGGTGTTGTTTTTCAAATCTCAGCAAGCTTATCCAATATGCACGGTAAAGGGACTTCACTATGCAGACTTAACGGACGCGGCCTGGACAGCAGATGGTCGAACTTTGAGCATTTCGTCCACAGACGGCTACATATCATTTATTCAGTTTGAAGATGGTTTTTTCGGTGTATGTGTCCCTCACAAAGGTACGTTACTTGACGGGCATCTTACCGTTAAATTGCTATGTGTTAATGTATTTGTGATGATTAACGACATGCTCTTGTATAGACCAAGTCTTACTAAACGAGAACAAGATGCGTCGAATGTTTGCTACACCGAAGAAGGTGCGCAATAAGGCTAGAAGTCAAGCCCAGAACCAGGCTACACCAAAGGAGCTGACACCAGCAAAGATCATAGCAAAGCAGAAGTCGCAGCAGCCGTCAGATCCCATCAAGCGTGCTTTTAAAGGAAGTATTACTTCCACGCGCGTTAACTTGCTGCAGGTACGGAAGAAGCGCAAAGTTTGTTCAACTTTGAGACCACCCGCGACACAGGCAGTGGCTACCGCTCCACACGCTGTCGAAACTGCCAATAGCACCGAAGCAACTAGTACACCATTAACATCCCCTCCTTCAGCAGATAACACTATCAGCACTGAAGTAGCACTTGTAGATGTGAGTAGTTCATCTTTATCGAAGCATGTTTCGATGGAACCCCAACTGTCCAGAACTTAAGCGATGACTGTCTAAATTCCTGCTACTAATTTTGATGACTATCTCAATTATTTGAACCAACCCAAAATTTATGATACAATTGTCAGTAAAGTCTATTTGTTTTCCAAGCTAACAAATTTGAGCTGGCCCTTCATATACTCAGATGCAATAATTGATTTGACACCATCGAATTGCATAATAATAGTAATCTGCAATATTATCTTTTGCATTATTATTATTTGAATAACTACGTAAGACACACAATTTATTAACTGATCAAGAAGATAATAATGCTGCTACTATTAGCAGCAATGTGTGTAATGCCTTTAGTGAGCGCCATGCACATAACAATACCACCACGTGCTGCGGAGTGTTTTTCCATAGAAGTGGAAAACTATAAGCATGGTATATCACTAAACTACGAGGTACTTCGTGGTGCAGCAGATGAGTTAGAGACAGTATTAAGAGACGGGAAGCAGCAGATTGTTTACACTCGAAAAGGTGCATCTGGACGATACGTAACCCCTATTGGTGAAGGTGGAATACATTCAGTATGCTTTAAAAATGAACTTTCACCTGTGGGAGACGTGATCGTTGGGTTTTCCTTCCATGCAGACGATCCAAGTCATGAAGTGCTTTCGAACGCAGATACCACCAAAATCAGTTGAGTGTGCTTGTTTCTTACGTTGTATAGAGGTGCTATCTTATCTGAATGTTTCAATCACTATTGCTTCTTCTGCTGTTGTATTTATTCATGATGAATGTCTGCAGAACAAGTGCAGGAGTTGGAAGATATGGTCTATGAGCTGAGTGTGAGCCTCGACACTGTCAAAGACACTCAGGCGTACATGAAAGCCATTACCAACTACCACAACAAACGTATGTATAATGAAAATCTACTTAGTCTATGTGGATCTTTTAATGCTACAATAAGTGCTTACTTAGACTTTTGTTGCGTTGATACTGCAGTGATTACGAGTACGCACAGCCGAGTCATGTGGTGGACACTTGTTGAAATGCTTGTTCTCACAGCTGTCTCAATGGCTCAGATTTCGTTCTTGAGGCGCACACTAGAGGTGCGACGTATCCTCTAAGGAAATAGTCAAGTTGAATGGATGGATGCAATTGAAAGCAACCACGGCAATCGACTATGTTTCCACTCTTTATAACGCGCTGTCTGCAGTATGTCGAATGTCGAAATCATCAAACGTGTGAGTTTCAATACAATCCATTGCAATGATTTCGCTGTCAAAATGATCACGTCTGGAAATTCTGACCGTACTCAGTGATAGTAGTAGGTACTTTGCAAGTAGACATTATCAGTACTTTAATACTAAAAGTATTGATTTAATTGACTTTGATTCACGCTATCTGTCCTTCTATCTGTGAACCACTTACTTATATCATAAGTAAAACAAGAAGACAGACAGCAGTATGAGTCGAGCACTTGCGGCACTATATGAACGTAATATGTTGTCTGCTGTAACGCATCAGAACGCAGGAAAAGCCATTGATAAGCTGCTACAGAATGGTCATACTCCCGCTGTATACTGTGGCTTTGATCCAACGGCCAATTCGTTGCATTTAGGCAACTTACTCCAGGCTTTTGCTCTACGCCACTTTCAATGCGCTGGTATTCGTCCAATTCTACTGGTACAATTCGAATACTATCGAAACTATAGACTAGAGAAACTCATGGTCGTGGGATGTGATACAATAGGTGGGCGGTGCCACAGGCATGATCGGAGACCCTAGTGGCAAGTCGGAAGAGCGTGTGCTGTTATCGGATGACACAGTGTTGCATAATGCACGGCAAATTACCAAAGGACTGTCGGCTATACTAGACTTTAATGACCCAAAGACTGGTGCGGTCATTTGTAATAACGCCGAGTGGCATACTAACATGTCAGCGGTCACGTGGATGCGAGACATTGGGCGGTTGGTTAATTGCTGCGTGTTCATGTTGTGCAATTCGACAGAGCTAACATGATACAACGGCTTTTACTGCAGTCATTTTCGAGTGAATGCAATGCTACATCGTGACAGTGTAAAGAAACGTCTAGAGACGGACCAAGGCATCAGCTTTCTCGAGTTTTCGTATCAACTCTTCCAGGCCTACGACTTTCTCCATTTGTACAAAAAATACGGATGTGTTGCACAGATTGGAGGTAGCGATCAGTGGGGAAACATTGCTTCGGGCATTGAGCTTGTTCGTAAGAGCATGGGCGAGGTAGGGGCAGCATGTGATTGGTTCACCAATTCGATTCACAAATACTCATTTCATAATGCTTCTCAACTTATTCCAATTGTAAAACAGGAAGTATATGGGGCGACGTTAACACTGCTAACAACGGCTACTGGAGAAAAATATGGCAAGTCCGCAGGCAACGCAATTTGGCTGGATACGGACAAGACGTCTGTCGTAGGTGCACCTCGCGAGTTCCATTCACGTTAAAACGGATTTTACTGTATTAATGTGCGTTATACGTATGGAATCTAGTTTGAGTTTTATCAGTTTTTCCTTCGCACGGATGATCGCGATGTCGAGAAGCTGCTCAAAGGCTTTACATTTCGAAAAGTAGATGAAATTCGTGACATTATGGCTGAGCACGAGAAGTCTCCTGGAATGCGAGCTGCCCAAAAGGTGCTGGCGGAGGACATCACAGCAATAATGCATGATCAAGCGGGCTTAAAGGCTGCGCTGGACGCCACAAAATTCATTTTTGGGAATAAAAGCGGTCCTGTAACTGCTGACGAAATGCTTTGCATGGCCGGAGATGTACCTATGACAGCTCTTTCACGTGCTGATGTTCTTAATAAGTTTGTAGTGGACCTTGCTGTACGAGTAGGCGCGGCAAAATCCAAAGGTTCGTATATACTGTCAGGTAAACCACTTTTGATTTCTGACGTCGTGATTCCATTGTGCTTGGGCAGCTGAATGTCGACGTCTGATCAAGGGTGGTGGCGTTTACCTTAATAACGAGCGCGTTGAAACGAACACTCTGCGCGTAGAGACATCACATCTTATTGATGGCAAGTTATTAATGATGCGCATCGGTCGACGAAACAACTTCATTATCCAAGTGCAATAAAGTATGTATGCACATCTGCGCTATTGATGCGCTCACTACTTCTTTAATTGGTCTCGAGTGTTGACTGAAGCAAATTTAGAGAACATGGTACCGTTCAACTAATTTTTTTGTACCGTATTGATGTGGGACGATGTCAGAAGCGTGTGCAGGTTCCTGAACCATTGCTTTAAATAACTAATTCCAAGTATCAGGAAAAAAACAATCGAACAAGCTGGCAGAAACATTGTAAGTAGTGTTCGTGCCCTTGGTTTGAGTTTGTCTCGACTCTAGTATTCCTGACAATACTTGCGGTGCAGCATCAACGTATGAATCATCTTGAGCAGTGACCTCTTCATCTTCAGTATCATAAACTCTATGCAATGTCCCCTCATACAATCTCCGCAAAGCTCAATATATAATTGGAATCAGAGATGTCATGGCACAGAATTACACGTCACATTAAACCACATACTTTCTATCAAGCACACTCTCCAAGTCTGAAGTAGAAGATTTGATTCTGCTCTTTAAGGTAAAGAACTGACAAACAGTCAATAATAACAACTACAGACACTTTTGTCACTTGTCGTTTTCTCGAGTAAGGAACGACGGTAGTTAGCAATCTTTATGATACTGTAGAGTTGAGTTACAGGTTCAAAGAATAGACACCCCTTCGATACTATCTATCAGTGGGTGATGGACCTCTGGGTTGTCTGAACTTTGGTATCTACTATCTATACAGATCATCAAAAAGGCAATCAACAAGAGACAAAGCACCATCTTTGCAACTATTTCGCATTGTTCGACAGATAGTATGGAAACCAGTCCGCTTCTGGGAAAACCATCTTGCCAGTCGAAGCAAACAGCGACCTGGAATAATTTTGTGGACCTGTCTTCAATGGCAGCCCAAGTGAGTATGGCCACACTAGCGCGAGCAGCACTTCTCGCAATTGACTCAGTGTTTCTCGGGCATTTGGGCATAAAGGAACTTGCAGCCGCTTCACTTGCTCAACTCTGGACAAGTCCTGCTCTTTACGCTGTATGGGCCTCTGCTTCAGCACTCAATACGGTTCGTTAACTTCTTTTTATTGAGATGGCACATACCAGCCACACTTACCAAAAACTTATCAATCGTATACATCTTGGCAGTTGTGTGGCCAGTCATGGGGTGCTGGCAATCAAGAACTCACAGGCGTTTGGCTGCAATTTGGGCTTGTGATCACAACGGTGCTTTCGGTGCCTGTTTTACTTTGGTATTGGTGTGTTGGCTGCATCCTTGAGTACTCGACGGATGACCCAGAGGTTATCGCACTTGCTACCACATTTTCACGCGTGGTCTCCGGATCAATCCTCCCAACACTTCTCTACTGCTGTCTTAGGTTTGTCTCCTAGTGTACATGATATTGCTCGACAAATTGAAGTTTGCATCCTAATGCTCTCTCTATCTTCGCAGGCAGTATTTGCAAGCAATGGGGATTCTGTTACCCACTACGGTAGTTGGAGTAGTCTCAATCTTCGTTGCTGCCGGCAGCAATTCCGTTCTTATATACGGCATTGGCTCGTGGCACGGCCTGGGCTTCATTGGATCGCCAATTGCCACAGTTGTGGCTTCCTGGTTCCAGCCGCTTGCGCTTTTCAGCTACGCTATCCTCTACAAACATTATCATCGTCGTGCGTGGTATGGATGGAACATCCACGCTTTAACGCTTTGTCGGCTTCGATCCTATCTCCGAGTGGCGGGACCCATTTCAAGTAACAGCTTTGTATCAAATTTGGCGAATGCGCTGGTGGCTCTAGTGGCAGCTAAACTTGGCGCCCGTATTATCGCTGCTAATGCTGTCGTTTCAAGTCTGTGGTCTCTACTATGGGCACTTTTCTGGGGCTACGGCTGCGCTACTCAGATCCGTGTTGCTAATTACCTAGGTGCAGGCAAACCTGAATTAGCTCGCCGCATTACCGGATTGGGTTTTATCTGCACCATGGTCGTCGTTGTCTTCATCGCAACTGTCACTAGTATCTTGGATAACCGAATTATTGCCCTGTTCACGACGGACGAAGAGCTGCTGACCACGTGTAAGCTTGTATTACCTATTTTCATCATTGCCTGTGGATTTGAGGCCATGGAGATACTTGGTGCTGGGGCTTTAACTGGAATGAGGTGCGTATTATCTCACTTCGTACGTAACGTGCTCTTGCTTTTATATTTCCTCACTTACGTCCCTTTTTCCTGTAGCCAAGTGCAAACTGTATTTTGGACCAGTGCAATCGCCACGTGGCTCGTTAATCTTCCAGTTGCCTACATAGGCGGTATTATAATGGGTTACGGTTTCCCTGCGCTTTGGTTGGGTGTGCTAAGTATGGAGCTCTTTAAAGTCATTAGCTACTTACTAGCGCTCACTCGTATAGAATGGGACAAAATGGCTGAATGTGTGAAGAAAGCGGCAGAAGTGGCACCTGGAATGAAGCAAAGTACAGCTTCATTCATTCTATCAGCTGCATCTGATATTCAACCTACAATACCAAACGCAACACCACCTCTCGTGGCTTCGCTCTTGGAGCGTCATCATCGCATGCAGAGTGAGGAGCTGCACTTCAATATGGTGTTAAGGGGTTCTGTGCGACCTCTTAATGGCCAATTGATTAAGAGTATGGATCATTAGAGCGATTGATTGGTCAATAATATAAACCCATTTCTTTGGCTCATTAAGCTTTAAAAATGGGAGACGCAAGTAGTGATGCACCGGTGGGCCAATGGGCACGGCGCAAGGAAGCACGACGCAATATGTATGCAACTAGTACTGAGAAGGTTCGTGTACACCGCCGTGGTTTAGGCACATCACTAGCCTCGAATTCAATTGCTATGTGTCAGAAATGTTTTCGATCTGGTCATTGGACCTATGAGTGCAAGAATGAGGCTGTATATGTACAACGACCATCACGTTCTCAACAGCTAAAGAATCCAGAGCTACGTCAACCCTTTAATACGGATAAACCACCAGAAATGGAAAAGAAAAAGATACTAGGTATGGAGAAAGATAAAATGCGTCAGGTCAAGGAGAGAGTCAAAGCGAAGAATAAATCACGAAATAAACGTCATCGCCGTGTCAGCAGCAGCAGCAGTGATTCATCTTCATCTGTCTCGGATAGTTCCGACTCGAATTCGTCAAGTTCCTCCTCAGACTCGTCTGAAAGCGAAAGCGAAAGCGAGAGCTTTTTGTCTTCATCAGGTAGTGACTGCAGCTCGCAAAGGAAGTTGCGCTTAAAGCGTCAACGCAGGGATTAAAGAGACAGGAAAGACTGTCATATATTGCATACCATCAAGTAGTGCAATTATGGAATCTGAATAAAGACATTAATCTAGGTTCAGCTACCATATCTTTGATTACTTTTTGATGATTTTCTTAATAAGCCTATAAAGGACCGCAATGTTGTACTTGTTGTTGCTATGTATGCCAAACAACACCAGCAGACGCGTAGCCAGCCCTGCAGCGCTCTTAATGCACAATAGAACATTCCTAGACCGTACCCTTCTCGTCACCCACGGCTATTGACCATTCTGCATTGCTTGCCATTCGTCGGCGCTTACCACGAGGCACCGAACTCCGACTTGGTCTTGACAAACAGCGAGTGGTCCCACTTAGTGTCCATCTTGACAGGCTCCGGTATAGTGACACCATCCGTCGCTACCTTTGCAAACTGGACGCGGTTGATCGTGCGACAGTCACGGTAGAAACACACACGCATGCAATCCTCCAGCAGCACCCGTGCCTCGGTCTCTTCCATATCAGGCCTCCAGTGCTTACGTAACAATGGCATGCCAAAATGATGGCCAAAGCCCGTGGCAATGTAGTCCCCCTCAAAGGCCAGACCAATCATAGTAACCTGTCCCAAAAAAGGCTGGTTTGTCTCTGGATTCATACCACCCACCACGATCGTGTTCCAGAGCGGATTAAACTTGTTGCGGCGGTGGTAAAGCAAACGTTGAAGGTAGTGATAAATTTCAGGTGCAGTCATATCACATCCATCATACTGATTAAAATCATACACTTCCAGTTCATTCATCTTGTCCTTAATAAACTGAAAATCGCTAAAATCACCACCAGCGCCTAGCAATGTCGTATTGTGTACGGCTGTAAGACGACGCTGATCTGTAAAGCGCGCCAATGAGCCATATGACCCCAGCGTATCCGCTGCCATCATCACACCATCTTTATACTTGAGTGCAATTACCGATGTGCCTGTCACGATGGGCGACTGTGTGCGTTGTCGGAAGTCCATAGCAAAAGCCTTTTTCTTCTTCTTCTTCTTCTTCTTCTTCTCTTTGTCGTGCTCTTATAACGATCTTTACCGAAAAGCTCCCCCTTGACATAAATTTATCCAATAGATGATCTCTGTTTAGAAAATACTCAGATCCAATAGATGATCTCACTCAGATTTCTAAACAGTGATCATGTATTGGATAAATTTATATATTCACTAAAATATACAAACTAGCACTTACGTGTCCATCATTCGCTCATTCGAGAAAATAAAGCCAAAAGAGCTCAAGAATCACATTAGAATGAAGATTAAGAGGATTGTCGTATTACTATCAGGGCTTTTAATGCCTTTAGAGGTAATGACCGACGATGATACGACCGTCAGTCAAGAAAAGAAAAAAATGACGTCGTGGTAGAGCAGATAGCTAAAGCTCGCAAGCAGCAGATTCAGGAGCTGACTGAAAGTGCGCTCTTTGTCGAGATGTTTGACATTGAGCAACTATTTGATAACTCACGATGGTTTAAGAGCACGCATGAAAGGTACATGAATCAAGATGTGACAATTGATGAGATGAAGGTGGCACATTTGGTGACTGACCGTGGCCTTGTGCTAGAGAAACCTGCACGTCACTATGGTCTGGCTGTTAAACTGGATGAGCCGCTTCAAATCGACGGAAGTGAAAGAAAAAAAGAGATAGTAGTGCAATACGAGGTGAAGCTGCAGAAGGGACTGGACTGCGGTGGTGCTTATGTGAAGTTGCTTTGTCAGAAGGAGGAGAAACAGGACTACTCAGCCTTTAGTGACACGACGCCCTATGTACTCATGTTTGGCCCTGATAAGTGCGGTTCCAACGACAAGTTGCACCTTATTTTTCAGCACAAGAATCCTCTATCGGGCAAGTACGAAGAGAAGCAGATGATGGAGGCGCCTCGTATTAAGAGCGACAAAGACACTCATTTATACACGGCGGTAATCCGTGATGATAACACGTTTGAGGTATTCGTGGACCAAAAGTCGGTAAAAAGCGGGAGCTTATTGCACGACTTCTTGCCGCCGGTGAACCCTGATAAGGAGATGGACGACCCGGAAGATTTGAAGCCTGAAGACTGGGTGGAGAAAAAGAAGATTCGTGACCCGAACGTCGTTAAACCCGACGACTGGGATGAAGACGCACCGGCACGTATCCCGGATGAGGACGCGATCAAGCCAAACGATTGGCTGGATGACGTGCCAGCGATGATTAATGATCCGGATGTGGTGAAGCCAGAAGATTGGGACGATGAGGACGACGGCGAGTTTGTCGTGCCGCTGATTCCCAATCCGAAGTGTGCTGCAGTGTCTGGTTGTGGCGAGTGGAAGGTACCAACAAAGGTGAATCCGGCTTATAAGGGAAAATTTTACGCCCCTTATATTCCCAACCCAGCTTACAAGGGCGAGTGGAAGCCTCGTAAGATCTTGAACCCGAATTATTTTGAGGATAAGCACCCGGCACGTATGGATCCCATTGGTGCGTTAGCCGTGGAGGTATGGACCATGACAGAAGGCATTATGTTTGATAACTTCTGGCTGGGCAACGATCTGGAACAGGCTCGAAAATTTGCGGAGCTAACTTGGGCCGTCAAGCATGCTGCGGAGGTTGAGGCGAAGGGAAAATCAGAAGAGAAAAGCAATGACAGTGGGGAGGGTGGTATCATGAAGACACTTGAGACTCTCGCAATGGATTTCGCCACTTACGCTAATGCCAACCCTGTGATTGTTGTCGGATCGCTTATTATTGTTTCCGTGGTTGTGACCTTAGGCTTCTTCTTCATGTGTTGCGCTTCACGCACGCCGAAGTTGAAAGCTGAAGTGAAAACGGAGAGCGGTGCAAAGAGTCAAGAAGAGGATGATGATAAGGGTGTTGACAGTGGTGAAAATCTACAGAAGTTGCGGCGGCGCAAGAAGGCACCTAAGGTCGACTAGACCGTGGGTAACAAATTGCAATCGGCGCTGGGTTCAAGTCGTACGAGATATGCTTTTATGCGTGGTAGTAAATCGACTCCTAGATCAACAAAAAACCTTTTACGCTAATTTGTCCTCCCCAAGTTTTCACTTTGCAATTAGATTTTATTGTCAAGCTCGACAGACTTGATTGCCTTAAGTAATGTCGGCTGTCTTCTTGATGACCTTCCAAACTTTTGATCTTGGACGCTTTCAAAATGCGAAGGCCTTATGTTTTGTGTCCGCCTATATGAGCGGAGCACAATGCAAATTCTAGTTAACGGCCTTTTGTCCTCCGCGCTCGCGACTAGTGGCAGCAAGCGCAGCATGCCCGAGATGGAACCCCATTCACTTCAACTCGCTAAAGCTACTCCTGAGTTGGACAAAAACGTTTTAAGAATTAAAAGAATAAAAAGTAGCAAACAGCTAAATTATCTTTATATAAAATCTACCCAAGACAACTACAAATTTTAATTCAGTTTTGCTGTTGTATCCTGGTCGGATTGGGGTAACGCCCTCTCTTTGTTCACACTGCAAGCAACAAGGACCCTCCCTGGGCCCTGTTGACAAGATAAACATCCAAGGGATTAAGCAAGAAACCGCGCTGGACACCGCCGTCGACTGGCCCCAGACCTCTACCTCCTTCGCCAGTGTACACAGGATTGTGCAGTCTGGGCGGCCTTCAGCGCGGCGCTAATAGCGCACGCCGCTTAATGGACCCTGGCGAGAGTAGAGAGAAATGTAGAGAAGGAAAGATTACCTGACGCATGCGGGAGTTGAGCCACTTCGATAACAAGACGGCTCGCGTAAAGCGTTTACATACATACATACAATTTGTGTTGTCATTTACAATTGCATTTAGTGTCCGATTTGCGAAAATCAATTTAATTTTTCTCAACCTTAAAGCATTTCGTTTTAGTAAATCTTAGTTCTCTGAGGACTACTTTGAGGCATGCCATGGAAGGATTGAGTACATCGTATACAGCTTAACTTTGCCTAACATGGTTTTCCAGCTTCATTGCAAATACAGTTAGGAGGGCAATATAATATCCATACTCGCCAGGATTAAAGCAAGACCTAATACAGCTCCCCGGTAGGTGCCGGCAATAACTTGGGTTGCATCCCGCATCTTGGCTTCTTGACGAGTTAAGTGACGGACAGGAGCTCCCAGCATCTGACGATTTGATTCATGCAATTTGCGCACATAATTCGCCGAGGCACTCGCGTGCGTCTTGATGTCCATCTGCCCCAGCAAGCGCTGGTATGACGGCAACAACGTCGTCTTACCGAACCATGTGCGCAACAACCGCTGTGTCGGCATTATGTCAATCACAGGTAAACGCAAGACGTGCTTTACAGCCGGCATATGCATTGACGAGTACATCCACTTGTTGAAGTTTGAGCCCATCATGAGCGTCACGTGGTCGGGCTTCAGAATAGGTTGCACGATGTGACTGTCATGCGTCATGATGAGGAGGCCTGACTCCAAGCCGTCTTTTCCGGAAGGCAAAACAGACTTAAACGTCTGATTGAGGCCGTCACCATTAACCTTGTAGTAGGTAGGCGTCGAGAACACGATAAACATACCGTCGTTTTCGTGCAGCTCGAGCGCAAAGTCATTAGCGGTCGAGGCGCTCGTATTGGTACGTGAGGACGCGCTGACGGACGTGCGCTCCTTTGACGAAGGCGTCTCGTAGGCGTGAAAGTGGTCGAGACGGACAGCATCCGTCATGATTCAATGGCTCGAGACGGTTTGACCGTAGCTATCCTTCATAGTAAAGTCGGTGGCATCGAGCGTCGTACCCACGCTAAGCACCACCATCTCAAGCAGCGATGAGAACTGGGTGTAAATATCCTTGTAACCCGGGCATGTCGTATCTGTGGTAATGGCAGCAGCGTTGGCATCCTGACCCGATGTTGCGCTGATGACGTAGCGCTTTGCACCATCCGTGAGTGTCTTGTGGTGGAGGAAATTGGGGTTGGCGTCTTGAGCCGAAACGGCACACGCAGCGGCCATGTTATGATAGGAGTCGCGTATCTGGGAGTAGGACGGCACGTTGCTAAAACTAATGATTCTGTCTTTCTTGAGCGCGTCGAGTACTTTATAGGGCGTGTTTCCAGTGGTGAGGGTTTCATAGTTGAAGACGGGGACATGGAATGACGGCACTTCCTCTGCGAGGTCAATGGCTAAATTGCTTGCCATTGGCATGATAGCTAGACCGAGGAACATGCTCGTAGGTATAACCATGTCGACGTTTGATAGTGAATGTTGTTGATATACTGTGTTGTTGATATACTGTGTTGTTGAAGGCAAATCTAAAAGTGACAAGGATAATGGCGCCGTGAGTACCAACTTGTTTGCCGCGTTAAGTGTTGAATGTGAGACTAATTATCTCGCAAATTACGGCTTCGAATTAGGGAGATTTTTGCGAGGTGATAAGAAATAAACTTGTCTGCGAAACTACCAATAACCCAGCACGCGTTTTACTAATGACGTACCATCGCCTCACAAAAACAAGACGCAAGAGGCGAGAGTAGCAAGGACTGCAATGACTTCTTTCTCCGTGAGTCGAGCGTGGTCGTGCTCTTGGGTCGCAAAACGTTCAACAAGAATATTCTATTCGCGCGGTAGGAAGCCAACTGTCATCTTATATCCTACTGTCAAAGTCTGTGGTTGTACTTGGGTTCAAATGATCTGTTTATCACACAATGGCTTGTATTTATAAGCCATATGTCCACATCGTCTTCCTGGTTCAGTCATTTCAATAGAAGTAAACACTTCTATTAGTATGTAACGTCCCTGTCGAAGAAATTGTCTCAATTGTATGCGTTTGGACTTGATTACGTCGATAAGTCCGGACAAATCAGTTTTAAGGACCAAGGATTTATGCAGTGCATCCGCTATGTTTTCGGATTGGCCATAAAATTGCGGTGACAAGGGATAATAGAGTACCGTCTCGCCGTCGTGGACGAACGACCTCAGTGGGGAAGCACATGAGCTTAAAGATACTGGACAGTTTTACAATCGATTTTTTTTGCATTCAAAGGCATTAAGTTCTCTTATCCCAGCGGCTGTACCGTATAACTTGTGCATGGTAAACAAGTATAGAATGGCTCCCTAGATAACACAAACGAAATACTTTCTTACACGGTGTAGTAAAGTGTAGCCGAGCTACTGTAGCTACGCTACTTATGCACTATGTGCAGAAGAAGTAGTCAAACCATTGTAGCAAAGATACTTATGCACTATGTGCAGAGGAAGACAAGCTTAGAGCTTCTACGTCTTAAGGCGCTTAACCCTCCTAGGCTAGCTCGTAAGCTTGTGCCTATCGGTATTAATGACCGAGTCTCAGAGAGGCTAGTATCAAAGATACAATTCCTCTACGGAATAGAACGCTCTAGCAACTAGTGCTATACAGAGCAGGTTTAAAACTGATTTATATTTATGTTTATCTTCTAACACTAAATACAGAACACCTATACTTATGGCTAGTCACTATATACTGGCTCTTTAGCCTGTTATTATTATGCAAACATGGATAGTCACTATACTTAACTAAGTGTAGTGACCACGTGACTCTCTGCCACGATGTAACCCTTCGTACTTCAGGTACGGTCACATCACCTACTTTGTACTCAAGGTACAGCCACACCACATTGGTGTGACAGGTGTGTATGTAAAATACACACCTTCGTGTAACCCCGTTACACCCTCCCCCACCAATTTGTGGGACCCGACGTACCCACGATTTTTTGCACTTGATGGGAGGCATCGATTTCATTTTCTTCCCATTTTGCTTGCCTCGCAATAAGTGCTTGCACTTGCGTCTAAAGCTCCTGTGTTCTTAACACTTGCTCTTGAGCACCCGTGCATTGCACACACGCTTTATAAGCATCCTGGTGTTACGACACTCGCTCTATGAGCATATAGTGCATCGCACTCACGCTAAAGCATTAAGTGTTACGACACTTGCTTATAAGCGTTAAGTGCCAATCACTTGGTATTATTAATACCCTTTGTGTTCACGAAAACTTGCTTTCACAGCACAAGGTGCCTAGCACTTGCTTTTAAGCAATACAGTGTTCACAACACTTGCTTTAAGCATTACAGTGTTCACAACACTTGCTTTTAAGCATCACAGTGTTCACGAACACTTGCTTTATAAAGCACTTGTCTTAATAGCGCTAGCTTCATAATGGATAAAGCAACGCGTCACGTCATTTTTGGAGACGATGACAGTGACGTTGCTCTCCACGGGCGGCGGAGCCGAGTCACTATCGGGTCAAAGAACCCAAGATCATCACGCTCACCGAGCGAAGGACGTCGATCCCATTCTGTGTCTTCCCCTCCAAGGGATACAACCCCTTTGCACCAAGCGCCTCCTCTTCCCTCGCGAGAGGGTACTGACGAAGAGGTAAACAGCTCTCTTGACGCTGCACAGCGTCATTAACTTGATGACGAGGCCCGAGCGACCGCTTTTGCACGACCCAAGCAAACATTTCACGACGTGATTATGGGTTCGTGCCTCGGGACCCTCATGAGGAAGCTCGACGAGCTGCATGGCAATCTTTGCGAACCTATGTCATTGTGTCCCATGCCCGTACGGTCTGCGAGAAGGCAGATAGTGTTGCTCGTCGTGAGTGGCTCCTTACTTCCCAGGAGCTTACGATGAATCGTATCAGTAGCGACCGCCACGACAGTCAAGTGGGGTGCCCGTGCACCCACTAAATGGCATACCAGTGGTGTTTGCACCAGGTGAAACATCTGCACAAGATGATCACCAGTTCATTTGTTGGATAGAACGAGCATCTAAGCTCTCAAAAATTGTCAAATTTGCGTTTAAGCGCTAAAGCTCAAGACGTTTGGTTAGAACGTCGTCTGCGTTTCAACTTCGCTAAGCTCAAAGCGAAACGTCAATTTTCTTCCACATACAGGTCAAAGACGTGTGGAGGACAAGCTTCTAAAGCTGTGCCCGTACCTCTCACTCGAGTGATTTACCGACATTGGCTTCTTCTGAAGGTCAGAGGCGAAGCCAGCCTACTGACCCTACTTCCACAGCACCTAATCTAGTGCTAGAAAGCTCCGACGACAGCTGTCGTCGCTTCTGACCGTCCTAATCAAAAGCGTCAAAGGCTTCAGAGCAATCCTGCCAAAGGGGTACCTCATACTCCCATTTGCTTTCTTCACCATACTCCGCACGAGAGACCGGGTTCTACCACGAAAGACCAAAGTCTAACAACGAGAGACCAGGGTCAACCTCGAAAGACCAGGGTCTACGACGAAATACCAAAGTCTACTAACGAGGGACCACGGTCAACCTCGAAAGAACTAGAATCTACCTTGAACGACCAAGGTCTACCAATGATGGACCAGGATCAACCTCAAAAGAACCAGGGTCTAACTTAATAATACCACGGTCTACCAACGAGGGACCAGGGTCAACGTCAAATGAACCAAGGTCTACCAACGAAGTACCAAGGTCTACCCACTATAGACTTTGATCGACTGCCTAAGATCCTCAGTTTCGGCCTCTGTTACTCATGATTTTGCATCGCTTCGAAACGATTCCTCCTTGTCTCCTTGCGTTCGAAATCCCGAAGTAAGGCTCCACAATTCAAAGCCACTACATCCACCCGCGAGGGGTCTTCACACCCTTTCCATCGGACGAGGAGCTCTCGTTGCTGTCTCCCGTAACGTGTTTTCTTTCCAGTGCGGGCTTTCAAAATCTCCTCGACCTCGTGCTTTCCTTCTTCCAGCTCTCTTGCCCAACTGTCCTCCGGTAACAGGCATTCATCGAAGTCGACGCGATCTATTTCGTCCGTCTCTAACGCGGCACTAGGTCGGTCGGGGAACTCTCTCCCTCTTGCGCTTGGACAGATGTACCACATGGAATAGCCTGTACCCCGTACCTCGAGTTTTCAAGCGCGCTGCGTGTTCTCCCACTGACTCTAGAACTCGAAAATGTCCATGCCAGAGGTGGGACAATTTCTTGGCGTACCCCTCTTTCACTCGGTCCAGGTAGAGCCACACTTGAGTTCCCGGCTGGATCTTGTGGTCTACCACCCCTTCGTTATGGGCTAGGATCCGAGCTTGACTGGCCGCTCGAAGGTTCTCATTCACCTGGGCTCTCGCCCGCTGATATTGTTGCTGAATGTGATATCTCCATCTGCGTGGCCCAGATCCTTGACGTTTCGTACTTACCACAGGTAATGTAGCTTCGAGGTTGGTTCTAGCGTCCCAACCATGGACCAGATAGAACGGTGTCTCCTTCCGGACTCGGTCTTGCGCGGTGTTCATCGCAAACGTTAGGCGTTCTGCATACTCGTGCCAATCCTGCTGTCCGACATCAGAGACATACATCTTGATGGACCTTGTCAGGGTCTGAACTATACCCCCGCGGTACCGTTTGCCTGAGGTCGATAGGCCATGGTAGCCTGTTAGAGTTGGCCCGCCATGCGACTCAACGCCCGAAAGAAATCCGACATAAACCCTGGCTCTCGATCGTGGCGGATTGCCTTGCTAGCACCAAAACGGCAAAAAACGCATTCTTCGTACCCTTCAGCTACCTTCTGGGCCGTTTGCGA